GTATGAGATGCTTATCTCGCTCCATTTCCTCCGTATGATTATCTTGTGTACTATTAGAACATCCCTCAGTCGGATGCGTCTCGCATTTTGTCAATTAGAATATGCATGGTCTCTAATTCAAATACCTGTACGATCGCGATCCGCGTTTACGAACTTGTTCCAAGAGACGTGGTTACCCCCGGAGCAGAAAAACACTTTCCATCTCCCGCCGGGCAAAGAGTGCATCGTCGTCTTACGCCCATCTGGCGCGCTATACAAGCAAGGGCGCGGATTGGCGGCAATCTTCCGAACGAAGCGCTTTGCGTGCATACAGCTCGTTAAAACCCTGAAGAGGGACGACATCATGGTGCTCGATTTCGGGTTTGTTACCATCGTCAACGCGTACATCGCTCTCGTAGGCAGCCCATGGAGCCGTAGGGCGGCAGTAAGTTCATCCTCTAAACCAACTCGCAGAAGCGGTTATGTCAGCAGATCTTCTTGATCGCGATATCGTTCTCGTCGATGATCCCAATGCGCGTATCGGGAATAATCAGCCAACTCGGGGGGCGGGGGACCGGAGCGCAGGTCCATAGACAACAAGCACGAGAGGCACGAGAAGAAGGTCTTGGAGATTCTGCATGCAGCCAACCTGTTCTTCCTGAACGGCACACAAGGTCTTCATCACAGCAGCGGGAGGACTACATCATTCAATTCCTTTGACTCTGAGACCTCGACTTCGGTGGTCGACTATGTTGTCGTCAACATCGCGAGTAGACGACTGGTCTCCGATGTTCGAGTGCTTGACCGGCAGCGTGCGTCGGACCATGCCCCGCCCGTCATTACTGTCGCTGAGCCACAGGGCTCGTCAGCTGGCACACCCGCGGTGACGCAAGCTCGGCCACGAGGTACGAAGCAAACTAGGGAGCGTGTCCCACTCCCAGTAGTCTCGGGCCTCGACATTCAATATTCAATACGCGGCCCTCATCAACGACACGCGCGAATCTACCCACGAACCGCGCATGGAGGCCCTGTACGGCAGGGCGTTTCACTTCTCTAGCCAAGATCTCTGGAAACGCGCGCCAGTAGTAGTAGTAGTAGTAGTAGTTGACCACCGTGATGTCCCATAACAGGACCGGCTGGATCTCGGGATGCTTATCGCACGCGATATCCGCGTGCTGCCCGACCACCTGGCGACACGCTAGCCCCGAATACACCTTCTTGCTTTCGCTCAAGCGGTCTAGAACTGACGTGTGTACAGACGAAACGCCGTGCATCATACCTGCGGCGCGAGGTAGCAGTAATGCTTGCGATAGTAAGCTGACGGCAGGGTTTACACCCATGTCCGTCCACCGAGAACCACAAGCACACGCCACGCCACTGTGCGGGTCAACACGACGCAAAACAACATCCCCTCTATCACGCTCGTTTATTCACGATACAGGTAGTGCGATGATATTTCGCCGCACCAACGCGGGCGACAGGACCAATACCTGCGCGTCGTAGATGCGGACTACGTTGTGGGCACACGAGCCCGAAGCGCCCAGAACTGCGTCATGGCTCAGAAGCTCGCGCAGTGACTGAAGTGCGTCCTCGTCGTCGGACAAAATCCGGCCACATATTCGTGGCTTCGATGAGGAAAGCAAGCTGAGCAGCGAAAAGAGCTTCGGATTTCGCGCAGATGAGCAGGGCGTGCTCCGGCGACTCGATGGGTACCGTGCGAGAAAGGCGCCCGCCAAGATCCCTGGGGACTGTGATTTACCAAATCTCATTGGTGGCACTGTGGCGCAGGGGTTCCAAGGTGAGCGGGTAGTCACTGGCAACCAACCGCACAAGCGCCTTACGCGCCTTGTGAGAGCGCACTTTGAGATAGCTTCACAGCGTCAGCGGGACCATGCGCGGGGCCGCGTTTTCCAACGATTCCAGCCTATCCGCAATAGGTAGAAACGCGAGGACGTATTGATCTGCCTCGTGGGCGGGCAGCGCTCACGCAGAGTGACTTGCCAGATGCTCAATAGAGTTGTGAAGGGCCGGTGAAGCTGCCTTATTACATCGATTGCGAAAGTACGGCTAGCATTGTGGAACAGCGCCACTAGGGTGCAAGGCGTAGTAGAAAGTGTGAAGCTGTACGACCGTAGAATGGCCATGCGTATTATGTAGGCAAGCAGAGGGGCGAACCGGAAGACTGCGATAACGCGTCGTGGTGCGGAATACTTAGGGGCCTCTGCCAGTGCGTACGAGCCGTGTTGCCGGTGGGGCAACCGCAAACTCTACGCCGTTTTGACAGAGGGGGGGG